AACTCATGGAATCCTGACTGTGCACCCTGCCGCACTGCACCACCGCCTGAACTCAAGCTGCAATTCGACACGCACTAAGACTCTGAGGCGGGTCACTACGGACCCCACTTTACTCAATAAGGCGAGAGCTTCGCTCACCCCAGCAGAGGCGCTGGCCCCGTCTGACAGGCCAGCGGGCACGCAGCCCGCAAGAGGCCGTCAGTCCACAGGCTCAGGAAGCTCCTCTCCTCCCCCGCCCCCGCTCCGACCCACCACCCCGCCCCCTTCCTCTATCAAGCAACGAGCGGCTACGAGCCAGCGCTACAGTCGGGATAGGCGGCAGCCCAAGGTCACTGTATGTTGCAGCAGTTCGCCCATGTCGGTCCAGCACATCTGGTGCCACCAATCCTCTGGAAATCAACTCTTGCAGCCGCGAGCTCGTGCTCAAGCTCCGTCGGACTTGTTCACCCAGGCCATGAGCTCCCGCTCGATGGGCCCCCTCGGAGCTGATCCCAGCAGGAACTCTCCGCCCTCGGCCTCGATCGCCGCCTCCAGGATTCGAGGCGCTTCCACTCCCATTGGTTTGTTGAAGTCCGTCCTCATCATGATGATGCACCTGTTCTCCTTGCGCAGGGGCTTGTACCTGAAGTGCGGCACTGCCCCCCCGATCTCCTTCAACGGCATTTCCTCTCTCATGTACTGTGTCCGCCAGTCCTTGCTGTCCTGCTTGAGTGTCATCTCGGCCTCCTCCGTAGACCCCGCTGTAGGAGTTCGTGTGGCGCAATACTGCATTGCCGACGCAAATATATGAATGTGTGGCGGACCCCTCGCTTTGAAGTCCTGCTCCACTCCCTCGGCCTGCTTGGCCCTCATGTCCTTGCTCTGGCCGTCGTACTTCTTGCCTGACACAGCCAGGGGCGCTGGAAGCCCTCGATCGAGGGCGATGTCCCGCCTGAGGAACACGACGCTGGCCACGTCCCCGAGCTCGCGCGTCACGGTGAGCAGCAGGCGCACAACCTGTGCCACGACCTTCGCCATGTCCTTGCCGCCCTTGCCGTCCCTGTCGTCCTTCTTGGCCGTCTTCGCGCGGCCCCCCGCCGCGCTGCCTGCTGCTCCAGCGCTGGGCGGTTCTGCATTGTCGCCCTCGCGCTTCTTGCCGCTAAGCCACGATGGCATCGCCAGCTCCATCTTGGGCCGCTCTCTGACGTGTACTATGTTCGGTACTGAATGGGGGCAACTTCCACGGAATATGCTCATAAGCCAATGGTTACATAGATCAGGGATATCACCAGCACCACAATTACATAATAGGCACTCCAATGATCGGGGCTGAAGTAACTCGTAACTCCCCCAGTGCCCAAGGCCCAGTCGCACAACAACGGCCCCTCAGAATTGAACCCAAAAGATGCCTCGAAGCTGTGATCTTACTCGAAAATATCTGCCTGCAATGCACGCATCTGTTCGTCGGTGTGATCACCTGTGCTAGACTACGTACATTATGATGGGACCTGTACCCGAGACCGCGAAGCCCTGAGCACTCCCATTTCTAACCTGCAAAAATCCTTCATCTCCTCCTTAGTAATGAACGTGTTCATGTCATTAAGCAGCACATCGATCGCCTCGCTATTGACGACGCCTGCGGCAAACTCGACATCGTGCGTCGTCTGGCTCAGCCGCGGGGAAGCTGTCTCGGATGGGCCCCCCCGAGCAACCGCGGTGGGGAACCGCGCTCTGCCTCGCCCTCTAGGTCCCCGAACGTCGCGCGCAACGGCTGGATGTCATGATCGGGTCTCGCTGCCCAACTCTGGTACCGCACTTCAACCGACGAGCTCTCATCTCACACTCGCTGTCCAAGACTCGCCACTAGGGAAGGACCTGGGAGCGGGAAAAGGGGCCTCGCGCGAATTCCCCCCCCCCCCTGTGCGTGGCGCGATCCAGCATCGCAACCCGAGCCAGTGAGGCCAAGCAACTGTCCAAGCGACGGTAGTCGGCGTTGCTGAGAACAAACGCTTCCAAGCCAGAGGTGAACGCGGCATTCTGCGCATTGCCCACCAGCAAGAGCTTGCGCAGCTTAGAAGGGACCGCCAGCGACCAGATGCCGCCAACTCTGTAGAATGCAGTCCGCGCTGCCGAACATCTCCTAGTGACCTCCTGATGACTAGAGTCACGCACCCGAATGTGGGGCCCCAGGTACCGCACGCTATCCTTGATGTTGCCCTGGGTGCCCGAGATACCTTTCCGAACCATCTGTCGGGCGCGATTTCCCTGGGACGCGAAGTGCGCCAAAAACTCTTGCTTCCCTACATTTTGGACGTGCCCGAACGGTCGACCTCCCCCTCCCTCTCTGCCCGCCAAGCATCCCAGCCCGCCTCCCCCACCATCGTGCCTCCTTCACCCCCAGGAGCTTGCCAAACTTGGGACCGCTCCCCCCGACTGGAAGGGGGCCCCTGTGCCAGGCGCCCATCTCTGTTCTTCGGGCCAATTCTGCAACGAGCTGCACGCCTGGATAATGAGAGCGCTTCAGACGTACACCTCCTGCGACACTGCTCCGACGCCCCTTCAATCAACCGGGGGCGAAGAGATTGCGCAGCGCGACGACGCCCAGCAGAGAGTTCAGCGGACAGAGCGCGGAGCTCATCATCCACCTCCTGTGGGTCTGCTTCTGACATGCCCAGCTTTGAGCCACGAGGTCGAACTCGCACCGCCAGCAGGTGACGACGACGCTCAGCACGCTCTTTTTACAGAGGACTGGTACGACTAGATACAGAACAAATACGTTGCCCAGCTGTAATGACCGCATCCTCCAGCCGTTCGAATAGCTCATCGAGGGGTGCTTGGTCTTTCAAGAAGACGAACGGTAACTTGTCGATCTCTTCCTTCGCCGCGGTGAGGAAGTCACGTCTGCACGTGCCACTCCGCAATGACGACACCATGAGATCGCGGTTCCAGCCCATGCGAGCCGAAGATGGTCATCCAAGCAAGCCAGTCTTATCATAAGTCATCGTGCACATGACTGGTACATGATCCCGAGGGGATTGTCCTCGAACTGCCTAGCCCTTTCAGCGGACAACACCCTCTCACCGCATGTTGCATAGCCTTCGGATAAAATGCGTAATCGGTGCGACTCGAAGCACCATCTGAACCGAAAAAAATGTGTTGTAGCTGGCCAGCCGTGTTGCCCGCCACCATGTAGTGGGACCCCATACATTCTCGAAGAAGTTGTCCTGCACCTCGAGGAAGCTGCTCCTGCGTGGGGACATCTATTACCACCGTTGAATCAACATCTTCCCACCCATGGGGTCCACGAGACTGACGAATACCATCGCTGAGGTCACAATATGGCAGCGGGTACACCTATGTGGTAGCTAGCTCAGCACCATTGAAATCCATGCCACCAAGAGACGTAGTGTAGCTAAATACTGAGGCCGATGAACGCGATACCTGGGACGTGGAGGAACGTAAACCACCATCGGACATATATCGATTGGACCGCTTTTTGCTCTGGCTGCCAGCGCTCTCCCTCGGGCCTCAGGGGGACTGACCCATGTCCTCATAATATTCTGCTCTCGAATATGACTACCAAATCCCAGTGCACACCCGCAGCTGTTGTTACTATACGGCGACTTGTAATACGGCGAGTCAAGAACCAAGCGCCCTGCACATCGTTGTCTAAGAACTCGCAAACCTTGCTGCGGATAATCCACACACTTGGTCCCTGCCAAAGCCACTGCGTCAAAGTTTCGGGTCTCGCCCATTACCTCACTCAGACGATCGCCGCTCGCCCACAACGGGTCGAAACCCAGGAAACGGAGAGAAGACATTGCATCCCCCCCGCCGAAGGCCCCACCTCGCCCGACGAGTGAGAGACTCCACCAGGTTGTCCTCCTGGCGGCGCGGCAAGCGGCGCTCTGTGCGCAAACAGCTCGGACCGCTTGGAGAAAGAGGAGGAGGAGGAGGAGGAGGAGGAGGAGGAGGAGGAGGAGGAGGAGGAGGAGGAGGAGGAGGAGGAGGAAGAGGAGGAGGAGGAGGAGGAGCAAGAGGAGGAGGAGGAGGAGGCGGAACGGACGATGATGACGAGGAAAAGAAGATGAGGAGGAGGAGGAAAAGACGAGGATGAGGATGAGGAGGAGAAAGAAAGGAGGATACTGAGGAGGAGGATGAGGAGGGAGACGACAAGAAGGATAACAACAAGGAGGAAGAGAAGGATGATGAGGGGGAGAAGAACGACAAGAAGGAGAACGACAAGGAGGAGGAGGAGGGGGAGAAGGCGGACAAGAAGCAGGAGGAGGAGGAGGAGGTGCGGTTTTCAGTATGTTGCCTGATACTTCATGCGTGCACGTGTGTATGTATACCGCCTCGCGCTCCTCGCCGTTCCCGGCTCAGACGAATCTAGTTTGACGATTAGGAATCTCGAGCGATGGGTACGCTCAGACAAAGGAGATAGCCGCAGGGATAGATAGGTCATCGAGGAGTCAAGCACCAGGACGTGCCTCAGGGAGTTTGGGATTCGCAGGAGGAGGAGGAGGAGGAGGAGGAGGAGGAGGAGGAGGAGGAGGAGGAGGAGGAGGAGGAAGAGGAGAAGGAGGAGGAGGAGGAGGGTGGCCGCTTTCTTCCTGCCTTTATTCAGCGACAAGACAGCCTTCGACAAGGTGTACTGCCACATGGCCGCCAGGAGTCCTGAGATCGCCTACCAGTGACTGGCGCTTAGCTGCATTCTTGGTGTGCCAAGTGCATCCATTCTTGTGCCCTCATACGCCATTCCTTGCGCCCCACGTCGTCCGTTGGGTTGCGCTTCTCGTCATGGCTGCTTGCGCCCCCATGTGTGTTGGGGTTGCGCTTCCCGTCAAGGGGTCTTGCTTCATGTGCTACTCGATCCTTCGGGCGAGTGCAGTGTTGCCAGGTTCTTGCGGGCGAGATTCGGCCGCGTCTCTCGTGCACGTGTGGACACCACAGACATTCGTCTTCCAGGGCTGTAGGAAGGAGGAGGAGGAGGAGTACTGACTGGAGGCCGCCCGGCGAACCGAAGTCGCCCAGCTTCCAGAGGCCGTCGCCGCCCAGGAGCAGGTTCTCGCTGGCCGCCGCGGGCTCTCTCGCGCGCGCAGCGCGCCGGCTCTCGAGCTCCCGTCCTCCTCGTCCGCCTCTTCCCCTCCTGCTCCTGCTCCTCCTGCTCCTCCTGCTCGCTCGCCCCGAATCCCCGAATTCGTGCGTTGATCGACCGAGCTGTCCCTGCCCCTCGCGTCGGTCTCACAGTGGCTAGTGCGCGGGATGTCAGAGCGTCGACGTCAGTTGTTGAATACTCGGTCGACAGTACAATCCCGTACGAAGCTCGAATGGCTCGCTTGCTGGAGCGGGTTCGAACTCGCGAGAACAGCCGCCAGGTTTAAGTTTCTCGGAGCGGGTGCACCCGTCGCGAGCGCCGAGAGTGGCAAGTGTCCACCACTCTCGGCCTCACAAAATCTCCCCCCGAAGGTGCACCCGCACCCACAAGTTTTTCGGGCTGGCCCCTCTCTCCTCGGACTGTCCTCCTGGGAGTCGTCTCATCTCATCTCATCTCCCTTGCTCTCTCCCTGCCTTCCTCCTTCTCCCGCTCCTCCTCCTCCTCGTCCTTATCTTCTTCTTCTTCCTCTTCCTCCTCCACTTCCTCATTTCCTGCTCATCATGTTCCGCCTCCTTCTCTTCTTATTGCTCCTCCTGCTCATCTTCCTCCCCAGTCACCATTGCCGAATCCATCGACTCGCTAGCGACTTGCGAATAGGAAGCACAGGCGACGCCAACATGTTGTAAGGGATATCGTGTTGCAGTGCCCTCCCACCGCAGAGGGTCACACGATTCAGCGACACGGAGAACACATATGAATATGTGCCGCAGGATTGACCTTTCTGGAATTTCTTTTAGCATGAAGCGCTGCATGCGAATAAAACGAGCACCTGCCCTTTATGAGCAACGTGCTCGACTTTGCATTTTCCCACGATTTATTGCTACAATGTGAATACGCCGAGCATGAACAATAACACTTACCTGTGGCCAACAAGGGTGATACGTCTGCTTCTCCTCCAGAGCTCGATAGCAAGCTGATGGGATGAACGACATCGCATACTTGCGGTATCATTGCTCTGTCAATCGTTGATGAAACCAACTTAGACTCTGGCGGATTTTTTCATGACCATGTGTATGTTGTGACAAGAGGAGAACGATGTTCCATGAAGATCCTCCACCGTGTCGCTGGGCACGGAGTGGGAGTGCCCTCAGGTCCTTTGCTCATTCCCCTGATCCTCAGTCCTCGATCCTAAGGAGTCTTTACGGGGCCCGGAGCCCGAATTGCCAACTCGCCTTGGGCTTGCCGCGACTTGTCGGGGGCTTCCCGCATCCTGTCGCGTGACCTTTTCGGGCCCAAGAGGGTCCCAATACGGGCCATGAGGACCTCATAAGGCCCTCAAGACGGCCCAAGAGAGGCCCAAGACACCCAAGATGGCTCCAAGACGGCCCAAGAAGACTACAAGACGCCCCAAGAAGCTTCCAAGAGGGCCCCAAGAGACCAAAATCATTGGTTCCCCTCAGGTCTTTGAAAGCTTTTGGCCTTCTCGCCTTGTCGGTTTCGCGACGCTCTCAGACGGCCCAAGAAGCCCCCCAGATCGCCCCAAGACGGCCCAAGAGGCCTCCAAGATGGCCCCAAAAACTGCCCAAGAGGGCCCCAAGACAGCCCAAGAGGCGCCCAAGACGGCCCAAGAGGCCCTCAAGACGGCTCCAAGAGGGGGCCCCAGATGAGGGACCCGAACGGGCATTTCGTGCCCTCGAACCCGCCCAGTAGGCCCCAACAGGCCCCCCAGCGGCCCCAAGAGGCCCCTGAGAGGCCCCCTCCCACAGGGCCCAAAAACTGCCACCAAGAGGCCCCCGAGAGCGCTCCGAAGAAACCCCAAGAAGCATCCCTGAGACCTCTGACCCATAATCCAAGCACGGTGTCGGATGGGCCGAAGGCCATTCGATTGACTAGGGGCTTCTGAAATCCTGAATGGTTTGTTCCAAAGCAGGCCCACTTTCTGCGCTACTTTTTGGATCCCCTAGGAAAGGAGGACAGCAACGATGCCCATGGTTCCGCTGCCGATCAGTCGTGGAGCACCGAAGATTGAGCCATCGCTGATACACAGAACTCCCAAGAAGGGTGGACGTTCAGGAGGGAGAATATTGAAGAGGACGGGGACGGGGAGGTGGTTCTAAAAGTAAGCGCTCACGCACACGCACATTGTGTTTAGCCTCAGGGTCATCGGCGGCGTCTACGCCTGTGTCTGCGCACGCCGCCCGCACAAGCGTAGATGTGCGCACGAGCATGTCTGCAAGCAAGTACAGGCGCGTTACTACAGCCCAGCACAGGGTTAAAGAACGCATTGAGTCAAGAAACGCGCTCTCAGCTGGACAGCTTCGTAGGGGTGGCGTAGAGTGTCCTCCACCTACCTCGGCTCGCGGCCAGCTGAGATCTTATCAGGAATCCCACATCTCGCCCCATGTGCACTTCGTATAGCTGGACAGGGCTGTGTGCACATGCTTGTGCAGAAGCCTGGAACTGACGCCAGTCCGCCTCGGAGTCTCTCCGCCGGCCGCTGACAAAAAAGTGCAGAAGCCTGGGCACACGGACTATGTACACAGAGGAGAGAGGGCTGAACACGCCCGTGCGCAGGCCTGCGGACCGAGCAGAACACGTGCCTCACCAATGGCTGGCGTCACTTGTCCACCGACTGGGCCGAAGGGGACGGAATCACCGCCATGCCCTGGCACACGCAGCAGCGGTTCTTGAGCTGGACCCACTGGGAGATGCACCCGAAGTGGTACTCGTGGCCACAAGGCAATACCCGTATGTCGCCGTCTGCCTCCAGGGGCCGGATAGGCACGATGAAAGAGCCAATCATAAATCGTGAGCTCCCTTTTCGTTCCCCCGCCTGCCCCCCAGGAAGACCAGGGACACTTGCCTGGATAGGTGTCGAGAAGCACGCTGTCAAGTCCAAAGCTCTAGGGTGATTTTCGGTTGGTGATACCAACCACGCTCTCTTCCCCAATGGAAAACTACCCTACTTACGCTTGCATTCAGGAGTTCCGCAGCTGTCTATCTCCATCGAAAAATACAAATGTATATAGATCGCCGTATCCAAGGTGTCTACAACTACATATCGCGAACAACCGAACCACACCGCACTTAAATCCCACCAGCCCTCTGGGCGTCGGTGGTTTAGGGCGTTTCCTCTTCCACCCCTCCCTCTTCCCCTTCGGGGAGGGGTTTACCCCTCCCCCTACCCCCTCCCCACTGACCTGGACAGGAGGGGCGGGGAGCGGTCAGAGCGTCCAAGATGGCCCAGGACGGCTCCAAGAGGGCCTCAGAGAGCCCAAGATCGCCTCCAAGATGGCTCAAGATAGCGCAATATGCCTGAAGATGGTTCAGAAGACGCTCCAACACGTTCCAAGACCGCTCCAAGATGGTTCCAAGTGCCCACAAGAGCATCATTAGAGTGCCCTCAAAAGGCCGAAATGCTTCAAAACCCTAAGGAAAATCAATGTTTTTGGTGTTCTCACTTTTTCGCTTCCGAAGCCCATCCGAGGCCTCAAGATGGCGCCAAGATGTCCCAACTGGGCCCCAACAGGGGCCCAAGAGAGCCTCAAGACTGCCTCAACAGCGTCCAAAAGCGCTCCAAGAGCGATCCAAGAGGGGTCCAGGAAGCGATTTTAGACAGTCTGGAGGGGCAACGCTAATTCAAGCTCTGCTCTTCTTTGATACATTTGCTCCAAGATGACCATCCGAGGCGTCAAGATGACTCCAAGATGGCTCAAGATAGCTCCAAGAGGGGCCCAAGAGAGCCTCAGGACGGCTCCAAGAGCGGCCACGAGCGCTCCAAGAGCGATCCAAGAGGGGTCCAGGAGACGATTTTTGGAGCTCCTGGGGGGCGAGCCAAGTTGACGGACCCTCCTTCGTTGATCGATCTCCTCCTAAATGGCTCCAAGAGACGTCTTGGACTCTCCTCTTGGGCCCTGCGCGCGGGCGGGCGGAGCGCCGCCCGCCCGCCCGCAAGGCCCAAGAGCCCGCCAAACCGTTCGAAGATACCTCCAAGACGCCACCAGGGAGGAGGAAGAGGCGGAGGAAGAGGAGGAGGAGGAGGGGGAGGAGGAAGAGGAGGAGGAGAGGGAGGAGGAGAGGAGGAGGAAGAAGGCGGAGGAGAAGGAGGAAGAGGGGGAGAAGAACAGCTGCCGATCATCGGCGCTCTTCGTTCGAGTGCCTGGTATAGGATGGGCTGGTGGGGATACGCGAAGCGTCAAGAATTCGTTTGCACATATGCTCATCATGTACGTGTATGTGAACGCAGAGGAGAGCATGCTATCGAACACGGGCGTGTGGATGTACTAATAGATAAACGGACCCGCGGCGAACCTGCTGCGCTCCTGTAAGCCGAGTGTCCCGACACGGTGCGTTGACAGAACGCGCGGTGACCTTGGAACCCCCAGCGACCTCACCGCAGGATCCATCGCCGCGCGGCTTTGGGACCTCGGCGGCCCCGGTCGACATCCTCGGAAAAACCCAAATCCCAAAACAGTGCGGCCACCCCAAATCCCCACTGACCCATGACATGGTGCGGCCGCCGCACTGTTTGGGGGCCTTCGATAGAAGCGTGCGCAATGCGTAGCGGCAAGAACCAACCCTGACGTGGCAACCGCTGGTTTCGCCGACGGCTGGTTTCGCCGCCAGGCAAAACTGCCGTCGGCGAAACCAGCTTCCGTCGGCGAAACCAGCTGCCGTCGGCGAGACCAGCTGCAGTCGGCGAAGCCAGCTGCCGTTGGCGAAACTGCCCGATCCGACCCGCCCGCTAGGGTCCGCCCGCCCGACTCGACCCGCCCGCTACGGTTCGCGCGTGCTCGGTCGAGCGTGCCCCACGCTTTAATGTCCCGCCCGCCCGACCCGACCCGCCCGTCAGGGTCCGCCCGCCCGACCCAACCAGACCCTCCCGCTAGTGTCCGCCCGCCCGACCCGACCTGCCCGTTACGGTTCGCGCGTGTTGTGTCGAGCGCGCCCCACACGTGAACGTCCCGCCCGTCCGACCCGACCCGCCCGTTAGGGCCCGCCCGCCCGACCCAGCCCGACCCGCCCGCTAGGGTCCGCCCGTCCGACCCGACCCGCCCGTTACGGTTCGCGCGTACTCGGTCGAGCGTGCCCCACGCTTTAATGTCCCACCCGCCCGGCCCGACCCGCCCGTCAGGGTCCGCCCGCCCGACCCAACCAGACCCTCCCGCTAGTGTCCGCCCGCCCGACCCGACCCGCCCGTTACGGTTCGCGCGTGTTGTGTCGAGCGCGCCCCACATGTTAACGTCCCGCCCGTCCGACCCGACCCGCCCGTTAGGGCCCGACCCGCCCGTTAGGGCCCGCCCGCCCGACCCGACCCGCCCGCTACGGTTCGCGCGTGCTCGGTCGAGCGTGCCCCACGCTTTAATGTCCCGCCCGCCCGACCCGACCCGCCCGTCAGGGTCCGCCCGCCCGACCCGATCCGCCCCTTAGGGTTCGCGCGTGTTCGGTCGAGCGTTCAGCCCGGGCGACCCGACCCGCCCGTGAAGGTCCGCCCGCCCGTCCGCCCGACCTGGCCCGACCCGCCCGCTAGGGTCCGCCCGCCCGACCCGACCCGCCCGACCCGACCCGCCCGTTAGGGTTCGCCCAAGCTCCGTCGAGCGCGCCCCAAATTTTAATGCCCCGCCAGCCCCACCCGACCCGCCCGTTAGGGTCCGCCCGCCTGGCCCGACCCGACCCGCCCGCCAGGGTCCGCCCGCCCGTTAGGATTCCTCCAAGCTCGGTCGAGCGTGCCCCAATTTTTGATGTCCCTCCCGCCCGCCCCGACCGGCCCCTTAGGATCCGCGTGACCGACCCGACCCGGCCCGCCCGCTAGGGTCCGCCCGCCCGACCCGACCCGCCCGCTAGGGTCCACTCGCCTGACTCGATTTGATTTGCTTGTTTGGGTTTACGTGCCCGATTCGATCCGCCCGCTCGGTTCCGACGCCCGACGCCCGACGCCGACGACGACGATGACGACGATGACGACGCCCGACGCCGACGACGACGATGACGACGACGACGACGACGACGACGACGACGACGACGACGACGACGATGACGACGACGACGGCGATGGCGGCGGCGGCGGCGGCTGCGACGGCGACGGCGACGACGGCGTCGGCAAGACCAGCGCCGGCGAAACCAGCGCCAGCGAAACCAGCCGCCGGCGAAGCCAGCGGGGCAACCACCGGGGCGAAACCAGCGCCGGCGAAACCAGCAGGGCGAATCCAGCGCTGGCGAAACCAGCTCATGCCCCCTGACGTTGCCTCTGACCAGGTTTGAATTTTCGGGTCATAGCTCGGGTCTCTGGCGGCTGTTCGGAACGACTCGGGCACCCCTGGAACGCTCTTGGCGAGCTGGAAAGAACCATAAGGCTGAAAACCAGGAACCTACGAACACGCCATAAAGCGTCGA